AAGTGCGATTTCTTGACTTTCCTGCTACGCCCTTTGCAGCTCTCACAGTCCTTCATGCCGAGAAACACTTGGATAAGGCTTGATTGGTCAACCTCCATCCATAAATCACGGTTTGAAACCCCAAACGCGACTTTCACCAACTTTGGCTCCATATCCCCAACACCCGGCAGCATGATCTCAACCAAAGGTTGGAAGTGGGCCATGTCGTTGGACGCCCTCCTAGGCCTTTTGGAAGATGGTTGAGGCTCCTCATCATCTGATGCGTTGGCATGGGCGTCCTGGACTGCCTTCAAAGATGCCTTCTTCCGGAGGTCACACAAAGCGTCCAAATACGCTCCAGCCGAAGTGCTGTTCAGAGTTTTTTTGTCTTTCTTGAAGTCCAAGCTTTTTCCAGTGAGAAACTTCGTAAGCCCACGATCCCACTTGGAAAGCAACATGACCTTGCAGGAACCAATCTCCTTCTGCTGGGGAACCCATAGCTCACCACCATCCAAGCGGCACCCCACGAGGTTCACGATCTCGCATTTGGATGCAGCCTTAAGCTCCATGCTACCCTAAGCGTGGCTGGAGTGGCGAAACAACCTGCCAGCGAGTGATACCCTGCTGAAGCCTCACACATATAATGAACGATATGTCAGCGCATGCTCATCCTTGCGCCTCCACAACACGACACTCGTACATTTGATGACGCAAGCAGCGTGAAAAGGCTTTTGCACACATGGGAATTTATGTATGTGTACAGTTACAACATTGTGATTGCCACACCTTTTGCAACCTCATCTCGCAGCGGAAGTCTGCAATGGGTCTTTGTGCCTATTCGTGGCTCTTTGTCAAAATTGGCAGGCACCAACATCAAACCAAAACAATGACTGAAGTTGACGTAATTAAGTCAGTTGATGTAAACAGAGTTGCCAAAACAAACATAAAATAATGATGTCCATTTAATGTAAACAGAGTTGCCAAACATGTTACACCGACACCTTAGTGCTTGGATTTGGTGCGAACCCTCTTGTTTGGAAGCAGTTGTTCCAGATCGAGCGGTTTCTTCGTCTTTTCCTTAAAGATCAACAACTCATCACCAGCCTTCAAGGCCTGAGTGTTGCGAATGTAGGGAATCTTTACTGCCATGCTCTCAAAACTTTTCGATGAATTGCCTCTAGGATAGAACAGCTCACAATTGGCCATATCAGGGTCGTAAGTCGTGCCAACAAACCAAAATGGAACGATCAAGCCTTTCTGCTCTTCCTTGGGAAGCGAGACTGCTGGAGTCAGGTAGAAGTCCCACAAATCCTGAAAGGTATACGCCTTGACATGGGAAGTGTTTGCATTCTCAGACCCATGATCTTTGGACATGACACCACATGTGAACGGAACCAAGCACAAAGCGTTCTTCTCCATCCTCTCTTCGGCAAACAAGCCTTTGGGCTTTGACATCACTTTCAAAAACGAAGGATTGGACACGGAAGTGCATTTGTGCATGCTGGCTCGAAGCTCGACCACGATCTTGGCTTTGATGAAAGCCACTTGGGACTCGGGGTGATCCAGGGGGCCATGCTTCCAATACTCGGGCAAGAACTCAGGTTGTGCCTTCGGCTTGTATAGAGTCCACTCCTTGTTGAGAAATGACTGGAAATCTACACGGCATTCACCTGATACATCACCGCCCTGCACGCTGAGCAGAACGAACCGATCCTTGAAACCCAAGATGGTAGCTGTTACCTTGTCCTTCCTGATGATATGGCACCCTACCTTGAACCCCATCTCTTCGACCAAAACCTGATTGTTGGCGATCTTACCGGATTCGTCGTATTGCCTCATCCTGAGAAGTTGGTAGTGGCTATACCAAACAAACTACACTTTCACAAACAAAAGATTTCGACCCAAACATAAACACCTTTCAAGAATAAACGATCGAGTCTCGCCAACCCGGCATTCTCAGGTGTGTCTTTCACTGACAAGCTTTCCTCTGGCGCTGAGAAATGCTCATCCCAACGGTTGGTCAAGTTCACTCCCAGATCTTCCCTCACCTTCCAAGTGAGCAAGGCTGCCTGATCCTCCAAAGTCTGCTTCACCTCCACCCCTGGCACCTTTTTCTCCAAGAGAATCATTAGGACTGACCGCCCCCATTCATAGATGAGCGACATATCGGTCAACCCCTTGTCCTTTGCCAATTTACGAACCTCCCCGATCATCTCATCAGCGTAAACGATTTTCTCATGCGTCAAGAGCTTTTTCACATCATGATGAGAAATGATTTTCTCAGGACAAAGTGCCCCCTGAATGGCAGCATGCCTGATGCGCACCAGCGGTGGACTCTTGCCTCACCAGTCATGCTTTAAACCACGCCTACAATTTTCTCATATTTTTAAGTACCAATCCCAAACTCAATGGGATCAAAAACAATAACCCTATATAGACATATGCAAAAAACAATTGAACCCACATAATCCAAAGCACGTGGTTTGAAGTTGATTGCCTCCCAGAATTCGTATCCTAGGACACGCCTAGGCCAGCTAGAGCAAACGTTCACTGTCTCCTTCAGGAACGGGGCTTCATCACCACCGCAAAACTGCATGACAAATGAGAAAATGTTTGGTAGGCTCGTCACGAATTCAGGCTTGCTCCTCTGGAGTTGCTTCTTGACGTCGGCAAAGCCGACGACATCCTTGCTTGCCCTTTGTTCTGTCCATACTCTGAACACACGCAAACACAATTGCAGCTCCGTTTCTTTTCGCTGAAGCTGCCCGCTTGTGTTCATGGTCAGTTGAACCAAGCTGGGCAAAGCTGGAAACGCTTCCATTACGTCCGCTGCCACTATCTCCCAACGGAGTCCATGACATACAGCGTCGTAATACTCACCGTCGTGAGATTCCAGCTTTTCCAAGCTGAGGGAACCATTGTTGGTGAACCTGATGTCTGAATGAGGATGGTGCGCTGCAAACATACGCAGTACCATGTTGGTGTGTGTGGCTGACAGTGAAGCGTACTTCACACTTCCTGGGGCAGCTCGAGGTAATAAACCCTTGGATCGTTCCACCAGTCCCTGGTTGAAGTTCATGACACTCTCGGTGTCTGACACTTCACAAGCCACAGCCCTCACTTCCTTCCAAGACCATCCACTGTCACCGATGTCACTCAGCAAGCCATGACACTCGGAAGGGAGAACACCTAGGCCATCTCGATTACTGGGATGGGGATGGACCAAAGCGGGGATCACCCGCTGTTCGTACATGAGATTCTGTGACTTCAAGTAGCTGAACAACGAGTTCACGCCTTGAACATGGCCACCCTCTTCGGCCCGCTGGATGAACTCAGCGATCTTAGCCCGCACTTCGTCCTTCATCGAAAGACCCCTGCGAGCAAAGCCCTGCAGGCGCGCTATAAGAAGCACTGCCAATTAAAGGGACGGCTGGCAATCTCTGTGAGCCAGGTGAGCCACACACAAAAGAAGCTGACGAAAACACAAGTGAACGACGCGCGAATCACATCTTGAAAGTGATGCACTGCACGTGCGTATCAAACTCACAAATCATTGCAGATGTTTTCCCATGACACAAAAAAAAGGATTTTTCAATTTGAATGGAAAAGCTCTATTCTTGTCACATGTCCGCATTGAACTCCACACATCTCTCTCACAGCTTTGGGGGATAGCGCACCTGTGTCAGTCCGCAGCTCATGCAGCACCGCCAATCCAGACATGAAGCAGACACGGAGGAGAGTTAACAGAATGTTACACCGTCTCTCACAAACAACCCGTTTTGAGACCTAGTTGTGGAACTTCCAAAGCAAACAACCCATCTGACTCTTTCAAGATCTGAAAAAATAGAATCAAACAATCTTCAGGTCAACGTCTCCAATGCTTCCAACCATAAAGCTTTACACATTTCAGTTAACCCCAAGCAAACCAAACCAACCCACAAGCAAAGCCAAATACTGATATATATTCAATACAGATAGTATAAAACACCCAGAAGAAGGTATCTATATATTTATGTATCACTATTTCAAGAACGCATCAAGAAGAATGTATACCTTCTTCTGGATGTATTATCGCAATGTCACAGACTATATAGTCTGTGATATTGCAATCTTCACCTATAGGTGAAGATGTCCTTTTTTCATCTTAGCCCGAACCTCCCGATCATCTCCGATGTAGATGAGCGACATATCACCCAAATTTTCAGATGCGTCAAGAGAAGCCATGACACTACTGTTACTCTTCCAGGGATCATCTTCCCAACTTTTCTCCACTGAACTCTTCCAGGCCCGTGATGGGGCACCGACCGCGATCCGATCACCGGCTTGCCATGGCAACCCAAAATGACCGGATCTGGTTTATATACTTGCGCGCCAGCAGGAAACTTCACCACATATAATCTTCCCAAAACCCACTTAACACAGACTTAGGGCGCTTAGCTAAGTCGACTTAGGCCACTTAGCGTAAGTCCACTAACCACTTAGCTAAGTCGACTTAGGCTACTTAGCTAAGTCACGCCTAAGTCACTTAGAAGACTTAGCTAAGTCTACCCTATCCAGTTAGATAAGTAGGCTAAGCCGGTTACACAATTTAGCAACATATGGGCGCTAAGTCTTCTACCTGGTTAGATGTTTTAGTAACTATCGCTAAGTTGTTGGCGAAGTTAGTAAGTGGTATATATAGATAGGTGACTTATAAGTATGGTTAGACAACTTATAACTATGGTTAGACAACTTAAAAGTATACTTATAAGTCTTATAACTATTTATAACTGTTACTAACCAGGGCGGTCATCAAAGTAGTAGCTTCAAAGACATACCAAAAAGCTTCTTGTTACTAAGAAGCTTCAAAGACCTAAACAGCTTCTTGTTACTACAGGTGAAACGATTCCCAGTGAAAGGATTCTCAAGGAAGCTTCTAGTTATTACAAAGATCTAGAAAGCTTTCATGAATATATACATACAGACAGTCAATTCAGGTACATACAGAGAATCCATCCAACAGATGTCAAAGCGCAAGTCAGGATGCGGCTACGATTGCATCGAACGCGGAGAATGATTTGAAAAGGTGTCAGGATGAAGACCTTGTGGGCATGAAGTGCGCCGCGCCTGCGACAAAAGCCGTCCGCGCAGCCAGCGACGCAGGGAAATATATGGCCGAGTTTGAGGTCAGAGGTTGCGATCAGATGCTTGCCAAAAGTGATCGGAGGTTCCATCGGATCTAAACTAGATAAACCCAGTGTACCATAGCACCGTTTTCGTGATCATTTTCTGGAAGTGAGGCAGCGGGTGCGAGGATACTTTGGGGTGCTCTACACGAATGGAGGGGGCAGCATGGGAATATGATGCCCTGGGGACTGAGCTGGGAAATACGATCATCTCGTGCTCCGAGCTTGATGGTCGACCGATTGATGGACCCCGAGATCAATATGGATTGGTGAATATTGGGGCGTTGGTCGGGGAAGTGGTATCCTCTGCTGCCTACTTACCTACTTATCAGCTGCTGGCATGGCCATTGGTAGTGCTGTTGATTTTGATTGCCCTTCGGCCTATCCACTCGACCAGCAACTAAAGATGCGCAACCAGTCTTTGCAACCATGGAAATATCAGGGCTACACACCTTGGCAACAAGCAAAGACCATTTGCGCAGAAGGGTCGTTGGCCTTTGCGCGCCTTTTGTCCTTATCTGCTGCAAAAGCATCACGTGGGGGCGGGAGGTGTGGGAACTTCTCCACCCTTTGCCTGCAGAACGCCTTTTTGGCGGCCGCTGCGACGATGGGCGTCGCAGAGACAGGGGCCGTCTTGCGGGACACCTGCAGAGCCCATGACCTCAAATGCTGCAACTTCGATCCACTGTCCAAGAGCATGGTGTGTCAGTGCAACAGGACGAGCCTTCAACAAATCAATGCTCAGAATCGAAGGAAGAATGGGAGGTGTGCATGATTTTCCGGATCCATGGCAAAGCTCATTGGCGTATCTGGCGTATCTGCAACTTTCGCCCAAGAAGCAGGAGAAGCTTGTAAAGGAATTCCGCATGGCTGCGGTTCGATGGTTTCCTTGGCTGTAGCATCTTTGGGCTATTTTGCTGAGAATGCTGGCCGCACCTACTATGAGTGCCCTTTTTACGAAAATCAAAACCTCTATACCAGTGTGGACAGGACCAGTCCAAAGATGGCCACGGCCGCTGAACGGTTTGCAAGTGCTGTAGCTGCAGCGATCCTGAACTGCGGGCCTTTGGTTGGAAATCAACCTGCCCAGCAGCGCCTTGTTGGGATGGTACATCCACCACGGCGGTTTTTTTGTTCCTTAGCCATGCGTTTCTTGAGTAACCCAGGCGTTTTTCACAACCTTTTGATATTTTCCGTTGTGAATTAGCTGGTGCAGCCAGTGACGTTTGCCTTGGAGCGTGAATATTGTGATGTTATGTTTGGCGTCAAGCATGTCCTGCCAATGATGGATTGAACAAGGAGCTTGGCAGCTTTCTTTGCTGGCCACACCGTGTTTAGCAATTGCACACCCTGAATGGATGCAAGCATTCGTAAAGTCGAAAAGATTTTAGTCAAACAGAAGAGTTGTGTTCCCAATTGTCATCAGAGCACCCCGTGCTGACTGACAATGGTTCTTCTCCTTGAGGAATGCGCGGCAACCACCTTCATCATGTGCAGTGTCGAGTTCCTTCGAGTTCTTAGCGTTCTTGCAGGGACGCTTGCTGGGAAGATGGTACACACCGATAGAGCTGTAGGAAAGTATGTTGCCTGCGAGTGCTAATCCTGGAGTCCATATCCACCTGTTGGTACCAGGATGGTTTGCTACTGCTGCTCCCTCGTCATTGTACTTTGGAATAGTCGACCGACTAGACGCAGTGCTTCAAATCAGCTTCTTGGATTGAACTTGGTGGTGCTATCACGTGCATGGTCCATAGCTTCAGTATTGTTTATACAGTTTATACAGTCTAGTCATTTGTCGTTTTCCATCAGGGCGAGGTTAGGCTCGACTTGTTTGGATTGTGGCGCTCGCCGAGGTGAAGAGCTGCACGAGTTGAATGACTTTAAAGTCCAGATCGACACATTGAACGTACCATGGACATGCTTGACGTTTTTGAAGTGATTGTGGGATCGAATAGTAGCAGAGGGAATCATTGGGGCAGTTCACTCAGAATCGGTGCCAAGAATGAGACCGCTCACGGCAACAGATGACCTTGATAGGGAAATATGGCCCTGAATATTTGTTAGGCACCTCCATGTTGCACTATTCAGGACCTTTGCAGAGTACAAAAACACTTGAACCTGCCAATGCAGGCCAATGATTTAGCCGATGAAGATTCAGACATTTCAATGTTGCAGATTGTGGAGAGAAACCTGGCCAAGCAAAAGCGCAACTTGATATGCAAGAGATTGCAGGAGCATGGGCCTGCCCTGAGTCATGCCATCTCCACCCAATTTTCCGAAATCTGGTGTTTAGCCATTTAGCAAGTGTTTGTGCTTTCTGCATGGCAAAAGCAGATCACGAAAGCCGCCAAAACACAGGTGGATGTGCTGCGGACACTTTTTTTTGAGGCACTGACAGGCAGTGACAGGGTCAGTATACCACACGTTTGTTGTGCTGATGTTTGAGAGGAACACTGAAGCCAACAGTGGCAAAGGAACCAAGCTCTGAGCAACTCTAGGGCCTAAAAGATAGTTTTTTTTGATTGATTGATGACATGTTCTGAGAATCCGAGGAATCGTGGCAGAGTTTTACAACAATGTTTGGGGCGATTCCTTGAAGGACCTCCGGCCCTTCCAAGAATTGGCCGCGGAGGCTTCGATGCAGATAATTGCAGCAAGAGATGGTGCTTTGATAAAACACCATTGTCTCGCCACACAGTGGATCACCGTACAGTGTGTTGCTTTAGCCAAGCAAAATGTCCGAATCTGTAAGAAGTAAGGATTTGGAAGCTGGCTTGCAGGGCGACGTCAAGCAGCCCACGGTCACTTGCACAACGTGTTCAGGGTTACTGTTGGGCTTGATCAGGTTGACCGGGGCTATTGATGTTTGGTCCCTCGAGGTCAAAGACGTAAAGCTGTCGACACGGGCCGCAGAATGTAGTAGAGGTAGTACGCCTAAATCACAGTCCAAACAGTTCAACCGCCTTCAAGGCCTTCATCGGTGTGGAACTATCAACTCGGGTATGTGTTTTACTGCAGTAGCATGAATTAGCCATAGGTTTTGAATTATTTTGATATGTGTTCTATTGTTGTTATTTCTCTTGTGAGCTTGGGTGGTGGTGCCACTGCGTGGCCGCTGCAGCACCCAATAGCTCACACAGCAGCAGCACCAGCACCCCTAAAAATCTAGGAACCCGGGCTATAATGGAACAAAGATTTGATACTGTATATAGGGCTGAGAGCTGAGAGGGTCTTCCCCGTTTCAGTCCGTATTCGACATTAGCATCATCGGCATCCCAAAGCGCGCCCCAAGCGCACACAGCAGCGGCACCCTGCAGCAGCACCAGCACCCAAGCTCGAATACGCACACGCGCAGTTCTTCCCATTCTGGAACGGCGGCACCTGCACCCAAGCTCGAAAACGCACATGCAATGATATGCAGGATATGCAGCTCTTCCTATACTTGAAGTAAGAATCCCACTGGTTCAGGGGAAAATCAGCCACCAAAGCTACATGTTATTTAGACAATGTTCCGAGGCCTTGTGGGTTACGAGTTTCCTTGAAGAAGCGCTCGCACTAATGATTTTTATTCTCCGATACATTCAATGCACTCTTTGAGTGACTCACCAATCGCGATTCGAATCTACCACTTCCAGGGACGACGGACTTGCTCAGACTGAGTTCCGCAATGCACTCGGTCATTTCATAAGGCTTCGGGATTGTATTTGTCCATACCTCTTGATGCAGCACTACGATTCAGCCTGAGTAGTGTCAAGGCGTCTAACTCTTTGCAGGTTCAGGGCCTTGGGCCATTCAATGTGTTTCATGTGTGCGCACTGTGAAGGAGTCGATGTACTTGCACACAGTTACGCTGCTGCAGCTGCGCGGTTGTTGTTTGTTCTGAGGCGAGCACGACCTTGAGCGATATGACTGTTTACAAGCAAATACCTAGTGAAGCTGCGGTCACACCAACGGAGACACGGCTGAGTTGATGCCACAAGACGCCTCGGCTGTCGCAGTCCTTTCCTCCAAACAACCTCCGACCTGTGTGATTTATATTCTGATTCATCACCAGATGACTGAACGAGTAGGCCAAGGCTCCAAGCATACATAGCATGCATTGTGATGCCGTGGTAGTTCAACATGTGTTCCAACACCCTTCTGTATTGTCTAAGTTCGATCAAAGTCTGACCCATTGAAGGCAATGGTTCTGTATGACTGACTCCTTCTGGTGTTGCACTGGTTGCACTATTATAATCACTTATCCTTGAGCCAACTATTTCATGCAAGTCAGAAAGTTTGCCCATTCCAGCAGAAAGGGATATCACTACTGATATCACAGGAAACCGAGAGTTATTTTGCCAAACTACTGATGGCCATGATCTATGAACCAAACCTGTGGAAAGTCGTCAGAAGGCGGGGTTTGGGCTCACAGGTTTGCATTTAATTGGCCGGGAACCAAGAGCCTCATCGCCCACGCTGTGAATAGCAGTGGTGGCTGTGCAAAGATCTGGCTGTGAAGTGAAGACGATAAAAGTGGGCTTTCAATCAGATTGGCACCTGGTGTCCAACGTCCCAGCGCCCGAGAGCGGTTGTGAATCAAATTGCAAGCCAGACCAATGCACTTGCGCCGCCTTTCTCACAGACGAGCTGAGAAGGGTCTTTGGGCGTTGAGGTTGCTTTGTTCAGAACTTATGGCCTGGGCATGAACAGTTCAACCAAGCTTGAGGGCATTTAGAACATCGAAAATGAGAGTGAATAAGACGAGGTTTGCTGGGTAAGAAGTTTTGTAAGTTTCTGTTCCGTTTGGATTGGAGCAGAGTCGCACCATTCATTGGATTTCCGAGCTCCCTCTAGGTAAGATGTTTTCATTTGGGCATGTGTGATTGATGACAGAAAAATAGAACTGAAGGTCCGGATGTCATCACATTAAGCTACCAAATTTTACCAAATGCAGAAATATGTCGTGAGAGAATTCTGTAGTTGCTTTGCACAAGGAAATTTATCAGTCCGGGTTTGTGCAGCCTGCAGGTAGCGACGCAAAGCCAAAGGCACCTCAACATGAACCTATCGTGATGCAAAGCCAAATGTGCTCGTGTTGTTTTTTTCTAGTGCCTTCACACCTAACTCATTAGAGAATGCGCCACCAGGGTTCATACAAGACTCGTGCTAGTTGAAGATACTTCTGGAATATGTTTCAGAAGCCAAGTCCTTTGTGAAGCGAATATTCACCTTTGGATTTTCCAGTGATTCAGAATGATAGATGCAAATGTCAGGTTCATTGGCCTTCAGTCTGAGAGAAGGTGACTGCTGTTCATCTGAGGTCCTCTTGAAAAGATACAGAATAAGTATGCAAAAGTCGGGATCCAGGCGTGTTTTTACTGTAAATGTGTTTTGCGTACCGCTGCACAGGCAGAACGAGTCGCCTTGGCCTGGAACGCCTTGTCCATTTCAATGTTTGTCCCACCCCCCAACACACAAGCTCTCAAGAACCGAATTTGCAAGTTGGGTCTTGAGAAGGTCCATGAGTCCGCCCATCCCATCTCCCTACGTTTTACATCGTCTTCACATGTTTTTACGAGGCCTTCATGTGGGGCGTGGCGCCTTTCAGGGTTAACACATGGTTGTCATGAAAACGACCACTTCCATGCGGGTCAACACATGGTAAGCTGCTTCTGCGTCGCATTGCTGCCAGCTTACCACGAGTGGAACTGGAAGAGCTGGGTCCATCGATGTCTTTGAGCCTGGACCGCACGAGGTGCGAAGAGCTGTCCGAATTGATTGTGAAGAAAGATGTTTTGATCATCAAACAGATCAAACACTCGTAGTTTGTGACATGATTTCAAGATACAAGTTTTCTTGTTGGGGATGTATGATGGCGACTTTCGTCCTAAAGATTTGACACCAAACCCTTGGCTGCAGAAAAATTTACTACATGCCGAAGACAACAAGATGCATTCATGTCCGGGATGTCCAGGATGCGGGCCCATAAACCGGGCACCCAACTTGTCGCAGCATTATAAGTTATATACTGCAACTGAATCTTTTCCGGAATGCTTCCATGTCTCGCATTGTCTCGCAACGTTTGCAAAGTTTGCATACATTCGCGCTTCAATCAGCTTGACACAGGGAACCAGACAAGGACAAGTGGAAGCATTCGATCAAGGTGCCCAAGGCGGCAAAGCCTAAGAAGGTGCGGACGCCTGTGGAGATTCCGGACTCGTCGCACTGGCTGTGTTTTCCAGGTCGCTCATGTAACTTGCTTGGTCCCATATGGTTCTTGCACAAGGTCATTGGGTGTTTGGGTGTTGCGTGTACACAGGTGAAGAACGTGAAGACTACTGACTTGGGCAAGACCGTCGGCAAGTTCCACTTAGGCTGGGCTCAGGCAGTAACGAACATGAAGCGACATGATACATGTCTAGAACTGACCTGATGTGCTGTATCAACAGCCAGCCTCTCCCGGGAAACTCTATGGACAAATTGTTTCTGTGCCATTTTCTCAACATGGCTCAACTCTAATGTTGGAATGTGTTAGTTCTAGCAAAACGGAAAGCAGGTGTGTTCCAGGTCTGTGTTATCAGATGGCTCTACATGGTTGTCGATCTAAAGGTCCTAGTCAGCAGTGTGTATGACGATGACCCGGAACATATCAAAATCTCATTTGGCAAAAGTGTTTTTCTCGAGCTGGCGAAAGTAACTTTTTTTTGGCGAAAGATCTGGCGAAAGATTAAATATGTACTTTTGTATGAATGTTCATTTGCTTTCTGAACAGCTGGTGGCAGTGACTCAGAAGCTAGATGAGCTGTGGAAGTTAGATAACCTGCTGCTGCTGCGGCTGCTACTACCACTACCACTACCACTACCACCACTACTACTACCACTACCACTACCACTACCACTACCACTACCACTACTACTACTACTACTACTACTACTACTACTACTACTACTACTATTCCTGCTCCTGCTTTGGGGGGTGGCTTTGCCACAAAACTCTACCCCGCAAAAGGCGAAAGTTTGGCGAAAGTTCAGCTCGAGATTGGCGAAAGTTCACCTTGCCACATCTGACCCCCAGCCCATTATGAGTAAGTTTGAGTGACCGGCTACTACAGTGATTCTTGCAATTTTGATTCTTGCTGACACCCAGGAGAAACAAAAGAGACGTACAGGGTGTCAACAGTTAAGTAGAAGACACATGCTGACAAACAGTGAAGTTTCTATTTTGTGTTTGCCAGTAAAGAAGAAGCCATTGACGTGAACAAAACACAACATACATGGCACACATAAATACAACGTACTTCGGCGAAAGATAAAACGCAGGAAGGCGAAAGTTTGGCGAAAGTAATTTTTTTTTGCGAAAATGACGGATCCCGGATAAAGGAATTTAGATCAACTCCCACATACACTAGAGATCTTGTGTCAGCCTGATGACTGGAGAACAACTTGTCGGGATAAAGGAGCATTGCCCTGTTTGCTCAGCAGGCAGGCAAGACTTCCACCAGATTCACACAGTTCATCATGGTATCCTGGCAGCATTGGTACGCAGCTCCTTTCACGGGACGCACAACATGTCAGAAGGTTCCAAGTTGTTGGGGTAGAGTTTGAAGTGAAAGCAAGATGATACAAGCAATGTTTTTTCGTAGACTTCTGAGACTATTTGTTCACCTGAAAGCTTTTGTATGAGTTGAATCGAGCAGAGCTGATCACTTTGAATCAAATCAGGGCACACAGTTTTTGTGACTTCTGTAGTTGCTTGGCTCCATTCATTGGAATTGCTACGTTAGGTTGAACCATACAGTAGATACAGTAGTAGTGAGTCCATTCTCTTTGTACACAAATTATATACTGTACTACTTGTGTGTGTGCGTGTATGTGAAACCCTTGGAATCAGAGGGCTTCCGTTGAAGTTTTGGGTTTTTTGTGCAGGGGCTTGGAATCAGAGGGCTGCCGTTGAAGTTTCGATGTTATTTCTTGTAGGGGACCAGGCAGGGTACATTGTCGCCTGGTCAACGAAGCTGATATGAAAGTGGGACGCCACTTTGACGTACCTGCTGAGTTGTGGTGCTTGCAAGCTGTCACTCCACATTTCACTAAAGGGTTCACGCATTTGCAGACTTGAGCGCTTGTCGTCACTTTGTCGGTCGCGCATGCTGGAGCTGGATCTTGTGATTTTGAACACTTTTGGCCTCCTTCGTTTCGACAAGACCTCCAGGACGTTTAGAACCCCGCACACGCATTCTCAGGGGAATATGGTACCTAGGTTGGCGAGTGGCAAACCGCAATCGAGTCAGTACGCAATATCTTGAGTGTGTCTGGCTTCATGCCAGCCCAGGGTGTACGCGAGGAGTGTCCCCTCTGTCCCCTGCCCGGTTACAGAGCAGTCCGCAGCGGACGAAGCAGGCTTGTGCCAAAGTCACTTGCCAAGACTTGACGACTTATTGAATACAAGTAGGCAGCCTTCGGGCAAGCCATGAGGTGACCACAGCGGTCAAAGCAGCCTGCCACTTAGGCACGGCGTATGTGGCCGCAGCGGCCGAAGCTACTCAAGGTTCATTGGAACCTGTCAGGCCTTGACCCCCTTTCCTCCCCTTTCCCTCTCCCCTCTTCCTTCTTTTCTTTTTGGGGTGTCACTCAGGTACACCCCTCTCCCTGGTGTGCCCCTGGACGCTTGCTTCATAGCTGGGAACACCTGTCCCCCTTCCCCTTCTTCCCTCCTCTTTGTCCTTCTCCTTCTCCTTCTTCTTTTTCTCTTTCTCGTTCTCTTTCTCTTTCCCTTTCCCTTTCCCTTTTTCTTTCTCTCTCTCTCTCTCTCTCTCTCTCTCTCTCGCTTTCTCTTCTTGTCCCACCCCTTTCTTTCTTTCTTGGGTGTCCCTCAACTCAATGCTTCCGTCATAGCTGGGAACCCTTCTCATCTTCTCTTGGTGTGTCCTTGGGCGCTTGAGTCGTAGCTCTTTCCTTTCTTCTTTTCCGTTCCCCTCCTTCTCCCTGC